CACCACCACCAGCAGCAGCAGCATCAACACCAGCACCAGCACCAGCACCACCAACAATACCACCACCACTCCTGCCACCAGCGTTCTGTTTCCACCGCTACTGCCACGTTCCCCGGGAACACCTACTCTGGAACAGCAGAGAGGCTGCACTCCAGGAAGCTTGATGCAGAACCACTCGATCCTCGGCAAAGTCTGCCAGCAGGCTTTGTGAAAGACGAGATCCAAGAGATGGATTCAAATCCTGGGCAACGGTGTGACTCCCACACGCATAGCATAAGCGGGCAATGCGAATCTCGGACTAGCTCAGCTCAGCGTCCCCGAAGACCACTAGAGTAAGGCGCAATGTTGCGTCCTTCACGATCGGGTCCGGCAGTGATGTGGAAGCCAAGAATATGCTCCCCACTGTCCCTGCCCGGCCGAAACGCAGCGACTGCAGCCGCGGAGCACTGGGCAGACCGTCTGAGAAGCGGCTAAAGGCAAAGAGCTGCAGAGCCAAGCCTGGAGGGTTGGTCATGCTCAGGTGCTCAGGGACTTCACTTGCTGATCATGGGCCAAGTAACCAACGGGGTCAGCTAGAGATGGCTGTTGCTCTGCGATGGGAAGGCCAAATCCTGAATGAAAACGTCGATGATAGACAGGAGCACCTCATGGCGTCCCCGTGAGAACAAGGCGCGCACAAGACAGAGGACTGCAAAGGAAAGGGTGGAAACGTTGACCAAACCAACGAGAATGGAAGCACCCCAGCAAGGTAAGACGGATTTGGAACAGTGCTGGACTTAGTGAGATGCACAGGCTCTAGGAGTTACAGTGAGGCGCCGGTGTCAGCGTTGAAGACGAGGAAGCCGCCGAACATTGCATCAACATCTGAGACTGTCCCTCAAAGCTGTAGCAAGCCGCTTCAAGTGGTGAACTGACTGCAGGTGTTTGGATTTTGTTTTGGCATTGGCTCTGTTTGCAGTAAGCTGGATGACAGAAATTCCTATCCAATCCATCATCTACGGAAGCCTGCGCGTGTAAAGCCCACCTGGTGCAACACTAGCTTGAGAAACGCTCTGCACCATGAGTGCCGCAGACCGCCAAACACAAGGTGAAGCAAGCAAAACCCTGTCGCCTCGCTGAAATGCTTGCCCTGACTGGTCCATGCATCTGCAACGATGCAGGAGAATTTTGGCAGGCAACACTGTCGCAGTCTAAAGAGGAGAGATGCAAAGAGGCTCTTAGAGCCTTCCACGGCAAAGCTCCCTCAATTTCCGCACGGCATCCCGGAGGAGACTCATGTCTTCACAGCTTTACATTCACTCCTGTACGTCTAAAGAAAACTCATTCCAGCCTGAGCTTGTTGTTGAAGACACGCAAACAGTTGCAAGTTGCTTCATAACTCTTCACAGACTTCACAAACAGAAGCCAAGTAGCTAGACGACGTAGTTGCTCGAAGCACATTAAAGAGATAGTAGTGTGGGGTCCAAGCCTCATCCACTGCATGCTGAAGCCACGAAACCAGGCTCCAACACCTTCGGCAGCTGCTGTCTTCGCCAAACAATCAACGGTGCTCCTGTACAATGCACCACGGCGCGTCCTTGCATGTTTTAGCCGAGCACAAATCGATTCCGAAACCTGGAGAAATTTGCATAGCAGAAGAGGCCAGGAGTCTTTGGATCCAGCGGCTGCGACATAATCCGACTCTTTGCCAAATCCACCGGACTGGTAACTGCAGCAGCTACAACTCCAGCCAGCATGCTGCACGCGAAGTGGCACAGGTAGCCTACACGGTTGTGGAGTGCGGTGCAAAAAGCATCTGCAAAGACTTTGAACAGAGACACGACAAATCCACAGCATTGCTCTGCCGGCAGGCTGCCCTCGCGCACAAAGCCTGCAGCAAACAGCGAATATGAGACACTTGCAGTAATATCTCGACACATCAATCAGACAAACCACACGAAGCCCGCCTAAATCAAGGAGAGTGTGTTTTGCATGGTCATAGCTCGGCACCTGCCAACATAGTAGCATACGTGCCCCAACGAAAGAGGCGATGGCTACACCAACATGCGGTGGACAGACCTAAGTGATCTAAGTGTATAAAATTGGTAAACGGCCTGCGAAGCTGTCAACAAGGTCGCCCTCTGCACAGTTGGGCCAGCTCCACGCCAAAGCCCACGAACTCCAGCATCCTGGATCATGGCATACACGGCGCTGCGCACCTTGCAAGGAAGGCACATTGCATCAGAAGTGTCTACTTCTTATGTACACTTACTACAAGCGCTATCTCTTGAAGGTGCAAACTCTGCTTGCGTAGACAGGCACGGAAGCTTGAGCTTGATGCGGGTCTCCTCCTTGCATTCGCACCTTGAGCAAGTCAAAGGGATTCGCAATGATAGAGCCCACAGCACCTGACTATGCTTCCGCAGCTGGCTCACACTGTGCTTCCCCTTCGTTAGTCTAGGAATTCGAGCACTTCGTTGCCTGTGATTGCCCCTGCCGTAATTTTCACCGCAAGTGGAGAAGTTGTTTGTCTCCTCTCCTGCTGACCTGAATGTTGTGGACGTGTGGAGGATAGGGGTCAAGAAAGCAGCTTTTGGACCCGGCCTAGACCTGCCAGCGTCTCCCGCACGGGCTCGTAGAGTCCCATGCGCATGCCGCTGTACGACAACTCGCGCAGAACTGATGGCTGGAGGCCTGCGACATACCATGGAGCAAGCAGCACGCGCTGATCATCACATCTCCATGGCAAACCGCCAGCCTCGTTGCAAGCCTCGTAAACCTTCCTGCTGCAGCAATTTGCGGCCGGCACTTGCGACGGTCTGGGCATTGCAGCTTGTGATTTGCGAGACGCCTGCCAGCTGCACGCGTACCTTTCGCAAACGAAATCCGACGAAGGATGTTCAACACAAAACCTGGTATACCTCGCCTGACATGGCGGGTACCAGCTGTCCAGCCTTGATCACATCAACCGGATTTGTGAAGCAGGCAGCAATCGCCTTAGTTGTTTTTGGGTAGTCCGGGCAATGCCCTGCATGATCCTGTTTTAGGGCTCTCTTCTCTCTTGCTGGCTTTAACCATCGTCCAGGTTGCATTGCTTATGCCTGCCAGACAAATCTGCTGGAGGGCCGCCAGAGACGCTTCCGGCATGATGCCACTCAAAATAACTATGACTTTGAGAGCAAGCCCGCAAAAAATGAAGTTGAAAGAAACCTTTGCCCTTGCAGATTCACTTTCCTTCAGGCAAGTGCATCCCCGGTCTTCGAGGCTACAGCAGACGCTATTGGCTTGGACCACAAAAGCCAGCGCCGTGACTCTGAAGTTGCCAGACTGATCAACCTCTGACATGGAGCTTTTTCCCCAATAACGGGACATATGTCAAGGTTTGCAGATCTAGCACCCGGCTGTACTCTTTGGCACCGTGAGCAAAATTTAAGGATGCCGTGGGAACGCTACTCCAAATCTGCTAGGCTCACGTCTGCCAGCTCCTCTAAGTCCAAGGCCTGGCAGAAGCATGACGCGGGTCTTCACAGACTCACGCTTGTGCAACAGAATGGGTCCAGCTATAGGAGTTAGAAGTCTTTTGGAAAGGTATCTGCTCGAAAATTCCATGCAATTCCTTGGACATCTCGGGCAACTTCACCGGGTCAGGCGGTCGATGATCATGGTGAAACTCAGCTACATTAGGGGGCACGAATGGGCCCTTCGAAACTTTAGTGCGCAACCCCGACAACCCCGCACGGCAACCGAGCGAAGCGAGTAGCCATTGATGTCACCACCTCCTGCTACGGCATCAGTGATCAAAGACATTGCAGAAAGTACCATAGATGTCAGCAAAGGATTGTCATTGTCACTCGCCAGCAGACCAAGGGGTGCGACCAGGTTGGGCGGGGAGTCATCTTCTGAAGCAATGACCTGGGCTTCCTGTGACCTCAACGCGGCAAGGTGTCCTCCCAAGACACGCTCTTCCTCTGTCAGCTCGTCAACCAACACAAGGTCGACCCCAGTTTTCAACATCTCCCGGAGCATTGAAGCGGCATTGCTCACACGCAGGTCCCTGGAAGTTCCCCGGCCAAAGGCGCAGCCGACTGCTGGGCTTGTTGGATCTTGCTGCGCCATTGCAGCATGTGCACCAAGGCTGGCAGCCGCTGCGGCAAAGCCCACAGCTACAAGGGTACTGCCTCCAGTCACCACCGTTCCTGCCGCGCCAGCCGCAAGTCCTGCTGGCTGAATCTCGCACAAACTGTCTTTGTGAGTGCCATGGTAGCACTAGCCTTGCAGAAGCAAATGCTGGGACTGGGGGTACTCCTACTTGTGGAAGACAGCTAAAGGCTGCATGCAATGCAGCTGCTTACCGCGAAAAACTGTGAAGGTGCTGGCTAAGCTAGAATGGCCCAAAGCAGCAGAGAGAAGAAAAACAGGAAAGCATTGAGTAGATGAGTTTGAAGCACAGCCGCCTAGGCTTGCGTAGCCCTCTCTCCGCGCAGCTGCACTCACAGCCGGCTTTGTAGAATCCAAGCCGAGCGTGGGCAAGGAAGGCACGCTCCTCAGCTCTGAGGACAGTACAGAACAGAACAGAACAACTCCATTGCACTGAAACCCGTGCGTGGGACAGATAGAAAGGATAGAAAACTTGTAGGTCAACCTAAAAACCGCTCTGAGGGTGTCTGCAGTTCAGCCGCGAGAGGCAATTTTCAACGAACGCAGACAGCTCAGACTTGAATTTCTCGTCAGGCGGACTGCGACACTCGCGCAGCGTAAGCATCAAGCCTGCAGAAGCAGAACAGGTCTGCAAGCGCAGGAGCAATCCTGAACTTTTCAATGAAAGTCTCGCTGCTGGTTTCGTTCCTTTTCTAATTCACAGCATTGCGACATTCAAAGGCATGAAGACTTTGTTCCATACCACAGTACCTAGACAAGCCTTACAATGCATGTCCAATTTCTATGTTCATCACCTTCCAGTTGTCCTTCATGCTTCCCACCTTTTCATTTTTTATCGCACCAGATACACGCATTGGACATACGGGCACCTTCTAAGCGTGCTATTGGTGACCATCATCAAAAAGCTCGGCGTTTCATCTACCTGTTGCTGTAGAATTCAGTTCACGGCCAGTCTCCGGCCAGCTGTACGAGACTGCTGGCTCACTCTTAGTGTAGCTGAGTCATCCCGGCGTGACTTTTGAATTCTTGAGGTGTGCATGATGAATAAGATCTGAGAAGCCTCGTCGCAAGCTGAAAGCTGAGAAAATCAGAGAATGCAGTGACAGTGCCAACAGCCAAGCTGCAGCCCAGCTCCTCGGACACGGAAGCGCGGTGGCCGCAGATCTCCCGGCCAGCATGGCTCTTCAAAGCATCTGCAACCACACGGATAGCCTCTCGAGCAAAGGAGACCCATCACAAAATCATGCCGGTGATGCCTAGAGATGTCCACATATCAGGACATAAAAAGGTGCATTGCAGGCACGGCACTGTGGCATCAACCTCTTCGTGGCTGAAAGCGGCTGCTCCTGGATCCACGAGGGTGCAATTTTGCGGCTGACTTGATTCCATTGCAGTAGGCGTTTGTAGGCTCTTCGGCCCATGATATAAGCTGAACGGCCTGCTGCTTCGCAGGCAGCAAGCAGCAGTGACTTCGCTTGTCCAAAGGTTGGCGCACTGATGACCACCTCTGTGGTCCTGCACTGCGCAGGTGTGCGTCTGAGTCGTAGCTTTGCCTCTTCGCAAAGAAAGAACATTCTGTCCTTGAGTCCAGTCCATCAAAAAGGGCTTGCAAATGCAAGCCTTTCAGCTCAAGCCCCTCGAGCTCCGGATTCCACACCTTGGGACTCGTAGCATAAGCTAGCAATCGGCCCCAATTTCCCATGCACGCCTTCAAGAACATGACTGAGACTATGTCATGCTGGCGATGAGGGCGCCACAAACTCGTTGTCATCGTCCTCGCTGCTGTCCAGCGTCCTACAAGGTGTTCGTAGCATGACCATGTGTCAGAATGCCGTTCTTGCCTGCAAGTCTGCACATGAATCTGACATGCGGCAGCACAACGACTTCCCACCAACTTGCAAAGGCTCCCGTCCAGAGTCTCGCAAATCTGACGCCATTCACTTCAGGCATCGCTGGAACAAGATGTCATGGCAACACAAGCCAGCGCAATGAGTTGTTTGAAACACTATTCTAAATTCATAAGTTTCAACTGGTCCCTGCCTCATGAATCAGCTGTGAGCCATGTTTCAGCAGGTAGACTCACAACCGGTGTGCCTTGCAATTCCGAATACGCAGCACAAGCAGTTGCACCCACCTTGTCTGCACAAGCCTTGTCGGTGGACCAGAATACCTTCCGCAAATGGTAAAGCAAGTGGAAGGCTGGTCAGTGACTCGAGCTTCAACATTTGACTGATCAAAACGCCTGCATCTGCTTGACGCAGCGAGCGAGGCCCGGCCTCGTATTTGTCACTGAGGCTACCTTTCTCTCTCTCCTCCCTCACTGTATCACAGGTGCCTGACCTCCCTGGGGCATAACCCATTGGCTCAAGCACCTTGGAGAGGCTCTCTGCCACCATCGTCCTTCCCAACAGCGAGCAAGAAAATGTTCCAGCATTCTGGCACACATGTTGCACAAGAAACGAATGAAGGTGTTCGATTTGGCTCTGCTCGTACCACCTGTCAAACCTGCTCTCCACATGCGTCACATGAACAAAATGCGAATCCAGCTTCCAAAAAATGATAAAATCTCGGAAGCCACGCGTTCAACCCGAAATTCTGCCCATGAACCGTGGGGGCCGGCCTTGTCTCCTTCATCCGAGCAGGAAATGACAAGTCACGCCGATCCCAAAGGGCTTTCCTTTTGCACCTGTCATGCTTAGTATTAGTAATGTCCTCTGCTGGCTACATGCCGCGTGTTTCTCATAGCGCTCAGGGCCGCTCTGGAAGTCCGGTCCAGAGAAAACCTACGCGCTCGCGATTCTCGCGCGATCCCACTTTGCAGCTGCATACAAGAAAGCTTGCAATTTGGGCAGGTCATTGCGCCAGCCTCTTCCCACTTCTTCATGAGGTCAATGCATTCGGCTGCATTCGAGACAAGGCCCGTACCTCCGCAATCATGAGAGGCCAGAGTGCCAAGCCTCAGCCTGTGAGCAGATGTTCTCAGAGACTCAGGAGGAAACCTCCAAACTGCTCCTGCGGGATGTACTTCCGGATCACCGCCGCCCGGGTCTCCTCATCCAGGCCGTCCAGATACCTGTGAGCGTGATGTGGTTGCGCGTGCTGCAGCTACCGCATTTTTTGGGTAGCACTGCACTGACTGTGCCTGTCCGAAGGCATGTGGACTGGCATTGGCAATTCTTCTCCACTATCAGCCTTGCCATTTTGCTTGGCTGACGCTAAGCGCGGATGGAATAAGTAAGCACATCACAGAAAGTTGAGAGAAGTGGTCCAAAACGTCGGCTGTCCATCGGTCAACCTCGGCAAGAGTCATCACGGGCCATTACTTTGCAATCCACACTTGCTAGTACAGGTAAGTATCAGTATAGAACCTCTATGTATTTACAGTCTCCATTGTATTTTCCATGTTTCTTATCCTCTTGATTCTCCGTTGTTGGGGTAATATCCCGAAAGCCTGCATAATTCCTATGATTATTATGTGTATATATATATACCCCAAAGTAATAAAACCGTAGTTTCCACGTGTTTTCCATTATTCCCTTTATAGCCTGAGACCTAACAAATATGAGGCCCGGGCACATCTCAGCACTAGAGGGGCCTCGAAATTCAGTGCATCAGCAGACTTTGGGGGCTTCACAAAAATCAGGGGTACCTTCTTGGGGTCCTCATAATTTGGATTAAGTTATTTCGAGTCTTTATTGGGGCCGCCCCATCTGGGGAAGAACCACATTGCTACCAGCAAAATCTGCCGCATGGTCTTAAGCGCCAGGGCTGCTGGGTCAAGTATGCGGCCACAGCCGACGGGCTCCTTCACTGGCTGGAAGTAGAGATGATTAGAAGTGCCAGTTCTAACTTTGATGTTCCAATGACAACATTCAGCAGAACAGAATGAAAACGTGACATGATGTGACTTTTGGACTTGCCCATCAATCATCTTTGAGAAGAGCTGGGTCTAGGGAGCCGCTCTTGGCCCCGAGCAGTTTGTCCCATCAACATCAGAAACCACAGCGAGCTATAAGAATTAAAGTCGCAACTTGAGGCATCTGAGATGAGTTTTTGATGATATGCTGTTTTCGGCATCATGTCATGATCACGTTGGTGCCCAGCCAGCGCGCAAGACCGGTAGTGCACAAGCAGCTGTCGGAACCAAACAATAGTACACGGCAAATGCTTGCTCAAGCAATGGAAATGGCCAAGGCGAGCAAAAGCCAGCGGTCCAGAATCTTGTGAGAGACGACTTCGTCCTGGCGTTGCTTTACCGGTCGGCCCATGCGTTGATTGCAGGTCATTGCTCACATGGCGGCAACGTATAATTTCCAAAAATGTCAACCATGCGGTTTGATATTCCAAGTGATTAATTAGTGCGGACCCACAACCTGCAGCCCCTCCCCACAGATGCCTTGCCCAAGTCTCGCAGCGCTTCCATGGCCAGCGCCTGCACCAAAAGCTGGTCTACACCGCATGCTAATTAATTTCGCATTGGATTCAGAGCCATTGGAGTTGCGGTAGGCATCTGCGCAGCTTGAGATTTTTCCGCGATGGCGGCTGTCTGTCTGCAGGTCTTCCACTTGTAGCTTCAGCCCAGACGAGCTTTCGCAGAAGATCTTCGGTCGCTACGAGTGCTCGGAGGGGGGCAGCGTCGAGAACATAGCAGAACAGCGGGATCCTCTTGGTCTGTCGGACTCGGACAATCGGGGCAACCGAGTCCCGAGTTGCCGAGTCCCCGAGTGCTCAGCTTTCAGCATTTTCAGCTCCGCCTTCCTGAAGTGCAGCCTGGGCAGCGTCTCAAAGTCTTCAAATTCTTCGAACAGCCTTAGTGGACCAACCATCAGCCGCGCCTCTGCCGCCTCTGCGGCTTTCTTGCGCCTGCGTCGCGCTCGCCGCGCCTTGTTGCTTCGGACTTTCTGAGCCTTTCTGTCCGCCTGCACATGGCCATAGGGCAGAAGGAAATGCCACCAACGAGACGCGACTTCCACAATCAGAAAGCAATTTGCTGCCAAACACGCAGCGCCTTCGTCTCCATGCCCAGCACAGATTTCTTGTACCTCTTCGCAAGGCAACATGGCCAAAGTATGCCAAAGTAAAGCACAGATGGCTGGGCACAGCTCGGCCAGGCGCCGGCCTTCGGCAGCACGAAACAAGATGTGGAGCGGCCATTCTCAAGGCACTGCATATAGACATGTTAGTTTGCAAGCTGAAGCCCCGACGTGCTGAGATGCGGTTTTCCAGCTGGGTTCGATGCGTCTGTGCCTTCACCTGCTGCGGAGCACTCTAAACAAAAGTCTTGCGTCGTACCACCAGGCATCTAGTGGCCTCAAGCCCAGTGGGCTCATGACGCAAACGGACCGCAGTCTCGACCTGATCAGCAAAAGTCTCCGGCACCAGGCAAGATGTCTGGCCACAGGCCTTGTTGACGTTCTGTCCACCGGGACCAGCAGAACGGGAGAAAGTTTCTTCTAGGTCTTTCAGGTTCACGCCCAACTCTTCCAGCTGCCTTGCAGTGTCCATGGAGCCCGTTCTTTAAAAAAAACGCTGCACATGCTGCTGGGCAACTGGTTTACCTTTTCGATTGATGGTCCAGCCCTCAGTTGCGTGGCCGCATGCTTGCAGTTCTCCGCAACGAAGCCAGTGAACAGCACTGGGGCAGGTCCTGACCAAGCAGAAAACTTTGTGGAGGCGAGCCAGATCGAGATTTCTGCATTGCTGCATCCCTACTTTGAGCAGGTGGCTTGTGCAGGCCAACAAGACTCCCAAACCTCCGTTCCAACAGCTGCAGCTGGATGATTCTCTAACTGACAAGCCATTTGCGCATGACCGATTTGAAGCAGGAAACAGCTCAGCACAGCGATCACATGCGCGTTAGTCCGGACGTTTCGGGGCATGGCAATCCACCATGGGTTCGTCCTGCCCTGGTACAAACTGGTTGACTGTCGTTATGTTTTCGTGCTGTCCAGTGTCCAGTGACCGGTCAACGTCTGGGCATCCGTACAATCGAGCATCTTATCCTTGACCTTCTTGAGCCAAAGTCAAAGAGTGAAGGTCGCTCGCTGGATGCCACTGAGATATACTGAGATCTGCATCTGCGAGCTCTACCTCCGCAGCTCGACGGTCCCCCAGGTCCATGGCGGCCACCGCATCGCGGAGAGCAGCCTTGGGCTCCTGCAACACATGAACGTCATGACATGGAGACATGGACAAGTCAGGTGTTGAAAGGATCAGTGAAAAGGCTGCTCCTGCAGCCGCAGGTGAGAGTTGCCCCTCCGAGACAGGAGAAGGGATGCGCCTAGTCTTGCTGTCTTCAACATTCGCAGTATGGCCATGTCTGCTCCACCCTCTGTCCGCCCGTCTGAGCCCTGCACGGTTCTTGAAGCCGTCACTCAAGCAGTCACTCGCTCTCTTCATGGTGTCAATGCCAGCCTCTCAAAGAGACATGTGACATGTGTGTGCGGATGCTCAGAGGCTTCTTAGCCCCAAGGCTCAGGCTGTAAAGTGCTCGACTGCCCCCCGCCAATCCTGCAGAGACAGCAACTGCCCCCATTCGTCTGCACATCAAGATTTGAAGGCTTCCAGCCTGCTTTTCCATGGCCTGATCCCCTGCAGACTTCGAATCATCTGCTGCTTTGAACAGAACTTCATCCATGTTCAGGAGTACCCTCAGTTCTCATCAGATTTCATGAGGTGGCCATCCTGCTTCTGGACATCTTGCCAGCTTCCGAGCGAGCAGCTGAACTGTTGGAATTGGATCTTCGCCTCCAAACCTGAGGCACAAATCACGAAGTATGCACTGGTGTTTTGTAATGGCGCCGTGCGTGAGTAAGCATGCTAACTGCTTCGGCTTCCAGGCACAAGATTGTGAGACATAACCTGCCCCTGACTGACAAACAGCTGCCCAGGTTTTGGCAGGTTTGCAAGCAGACAAGCACAGGTCTATCGGAGTCAAGCGAAGGCTGGCCACCAGCAATTGCCGACAGCCGCCGACTGCGAATATTTCGCGAGAGTTTATGTACATCAGAGGAATGTTCGCCTAGCCCTTTAAAGCAGCTGAATGTTGCAAGAGGCGGCTCGATGCTGACTGCATGCTTGATAGCAATTCCATACAGTCCAAGGAGACCCTGGCAAGCAGCCTGAGAGCTACCTCGCCCCGACTGAGGCCAACCACCAGACCGTAGCTGGATACGTCCTGATGAAAAAGAGTCTGCTCAGGTTTTTTGCTTGTCATGATGGTCTAGTCTCCTTGTCTGAACTGTTCCAATCCGCACAAGCTCTTCGCTGCCGAGTCTCGATGCTTCGCGCACCAGCCATTCCTCTCAGCAGCGCCAATCCTTGCTGCCAGCGGACCAAACTGCTCAGCACGGTGTTGTAGGTGATGACCTTCGGCGGATCTATTTGCAAAAGTGCCATGTGTTTGGAATTCAAGACTGCCGTGCACAATCAACTTCTGTGATTGCGGCATCCACCAGCCCTTCTCGAAGTCGCAGTAGTAGCGCAAGGCCGACAGGCCAACTTGCCTTCATGATGCGATCAAACCACGAAGAAGCAAGGCAGATGCGGAACCAAGTTTGGTATGCCTTGCCTGGCTGCAACAAGCCAGGGCCGCATTGCCAGCAGAAAGCGGAGGTTCCAGTCCTTCGCACCCATGATAGCTGTACGTACTTGAAATGCCCTTGTCACTGAGATCTGTTCTCCTGTCAGGGAAGTTAGCGGAAAGCCTACGGGTCGAGCTTCGTGAACAAGGCATTCTTGGGGTTTGCCCACAGTTCCCCTTTGCGGACCCTCCACGGATCCCAGCCCAATAGCTGCTCCGCGCCCCTAGCTTGCTCATCAGCCTGGCTTCTTGACTCAACCCTCGTGTGGCGAAAAAATGGTTGGGAGCTTGGCAAGTGAGCAGCACAGGCTTTGTGCTCGACTTCTAGGTAGGAGTGATCCTGTAATTGTAGTTGTGCTGTAGTACTCACGGAAGTGGCTGCCTGTAGTTGTACGTCGCAACACTTTTTGTCAGGCCCCCCCACCTGTGGCTTGCCTTGCCAGACCCACCACATCAGCAGTATGTTTTGAAAGGATGCAAAGCTGGCACTGCTTGCGATGGCTTTCGAACAACCCTGACCAAAGCAACCATCATCGCGCAAAACACGCGCAGTCCTGCAGCTCTTGTCGCAGCCAGTAGGCCAGAAGCTGCCCGCCACTGCCGCTTGGATGCACAAGAACTAATGGCCTGAAAAGTGGGATCCGAGCCAAGTTTCATGGAGGTCAACAAGTATCGGATCAAATTCTTACAAGCTGCAGCATTGCAGACAACGGCATCCACAGGGACCTTCAACGACCTCGCAGTGGGCTTGCACAAAAACACGACAAATACCCAACATCGAGAAAGCAGAATTGCTTGGTCTCTGAGTGCACAAGAAACAAGACAATCGCAAAAATAGGGTTTTGCCAAACATCCACAAGCTCTGCAGCTTCCTGCCTTCAAGGAGAACTTATGCGGGCGGGAATTCCGAAATTAGCTTACATGTTTCTTTGGGTTGGGCTTGCCTACAAATAATTCTTGGCAGCTGATACCGCTAAGAATCAAGCCTTTGAGGTTTGATGTAAAATGCCATATTGCCACACACCGATACCAAAGGCCTTTAAATCCAGAACTGACCAGCGAGCCAAGGCTTATGCTATACAGCTTCTAGCTACATGTGTATCAACCAGGTCTGACATGCTACAGCTTTGACCTATGACCTTCAAGTCAAGTCAAAATGAGGCAGGACGGTGTTCGGAGAAAAGAGGTCAGATGAAACGGCGTATGTTTGCCTTGGGGGCAGCCAAAGACAAGGCCCGAGCCTTGAAGAATGGTAGAGGTAGGCTGAGAGCTGCCAGCGCTGGCATTTGTTGCCTGAAGACGGCTCTTTTCTCAACCCTGAAATCTCTTGCATGGCGCAATAAAATGCCAAGGCGTCAGCCCGCACTCAGCAGCGACCCGAAACTCACCGGATCCATTCTTCTCAACCTACGTTGCAGAGCTCTCATGGCAAGACGGCCTAGGCATGCCTCTTCAATAAACCGTAAAAATAACAACAACCTGAGCTTGTGCTGTCAAATGGCTGTTTGGCCAGTTGTACTGAAGCCAGCCACCGCTGACCCCAGTCCAATGCATTGAGACAAGCATTAAACAGCCCACGGTCCTTCCTGCGTGCGACATGACGAATACATGTGCTGCTTCCCACGTGCGTGACTGAATGCAAAAGCAAAAGCAAACATGCCTTACTCCGTGCCAGGAGAGCTGGTTGAAAGAGGAAACTGCCTGATGGTCGCGCGGCTACAGAACAGCATGTGCCAACTTGAACGTCTCAGTCAAACGAGGCTCTCGTTCCCAGCATCGACCTCTGGCACATGCATTGGTCAAAGCCGTGAAGGATATGACATCGAGGCCCAGGTCCTTCTTTGTGAACGCGACACATGGCATGCAACCGATACACCATTGTTGACCTTGCACTGGATTCCAAATATGAAATTGAACCCGAGCGTCCTTTCTGGAATCGCAAGAGCACAGGCTGCAAGTCTGTCGCCACAAGCCATCTTTCTCACAAGCACTGAGAGCTGCGTTCAGGCCTTGCATCTGATGAACGCACACACATATCCTGCAATGCTGTGCGCAACGCGTGATTCCGCAGGGTAGGCCAGGAAACGAGAGCATCTGAAAAGGACAACCTGCTACTTGCGAGCGTGTTGCTCATGATGTTGGGCCGCAGGCTGAGATGCCGCATTGCCAGCAGCTGGTCTGGCGGCTGTGCACTTTTGCAATGCTGGGGCAGTATCCAAACGCACTCTACATAGTTGAAAGCAGAAAATGGATGGAGGATCTGGATACCTAGCTGACCATGCTTTTGACTAAGGACGGCTCCTACGCCCAGCTTCCATCTTCCTCCTTTCTCACAGGCACTGATGCAGGCCTCAAGCAACACGTCGATACGTGCTCCGATGTTTCGGCACTTGCGAGGTGTGTGAAGCAAGGCACGGAGTGAGAGATGAGGTCAGCTTGAAGGCGGTCGGAGACAAATTGCATGAGGCTTACTGCTCGGCGCCACTTCGAGGACTTCTCGCAGGAACTGATGGCCTCTGTCTCGCAAGAAGTCTCTGAACGCAGACTGGGGGCACTTTTTTAAGAGCTGCTTCTACGAGGATCTTAACGAGTGGCTCCGTTGTAGAGAAATTCGTCTGGAGCCAAAGAGCCAAACCTGAACTTGGCAGGACCGAGCTGCAATTTCCGCTGAACAAGTCCACGCTTGAGAGCAGGCTGCTTCACTTCCCAAGAGCTACTCAGCTACTTACACCAGCTTGGCGTGCATTTTGGAATGCGTGAATCAATGAAGGAAGCTCCGAGGCACCAGCTGCATGCCGAAGCAAAGGTTGAGGGAGCTTTTCCAACAGGATGCCTTTTCCAAAGTGGCGAGTGCTGCCATGCACGCCATGACGTCAAGCTGAACACCTCGAGATAAGACAAGGACAAGGAGCTCTTTATCCTAGAGTTGACCAAATTGACAGCGACTGGGCTTCCTGCCATTGGCCCACGAGCACGACAGGATTTTGCATGCTGAAGACCACTGAAAAGCGGTCTTGAAGCAGCTGATGCAAGCAGTAAGAGAGACTACGCTGGGCTGAAGCGTAGAAGGCCTCGGTTGACATGAAACCCATCTGCCCTTGGCTACTGTTCGGAGCTCTGAGGGTCAGGCTGAAGAAGTGCGGCCAATTCCAAACCCTGCCACCAGCGATGGCTTTTTGCTGCCGCTGTGATTGCAGAATTGTCTTGGGCCAGCTGGCGATTGACCTTTGCCGCAGTATGCCACGCAGTGACATTGCCAACTGGCGATACTTCTCACGCGCCTTGCGTGTTGCACATGCTGCATGCATGTAGCCATGCGTTGCCTGCAAATATGCCAGGTGAGGCTAACCATGACCGCGGCTGAGCGTGACCGGAAGCATTGCATGGCAATCCCCTCCTGGTCCTCCACGGTAGCCACCAGACACCAAAGCGCATCGTTGCACCCAAACACTGGTTGCTGCTGACGATTCGGCGAAAGCTTGAGCCGAGAGCTGATGAAGAGATGTTGTGAGAAAATCACTCGAGACATTTGGCATGTCAGGTTCGCTTCTGGTATCCAAGAGAACCTTCTTACGAGCCTTTTCCAATGCTGCTGTGCTGCTGCTACTACTACTACTACTACTACTGCTACTACTACTACTACTACTACTAGTACCACTACTACTACTACTACTACTACTACTAGGCCCCCGGCGGGGAAAAAACCCGCAAGAAACAGAAACACAATGA